TTAAGCACAACATGTATATAGGACCCGATGTTATAAACGTTTCCGAATTGCAGGTCAAATACCCGCAACTAGCCCCGTTAAAGACGACTGCGTATAATTACAAAGAGATTGAGATAGTTATAGGACAGGACTTCTATCATGCGATAAGACCCCTCGAACATGTCTTCGGAGATGAACTTGACTCACCGTGCGCCGTCCGACTTCCGATAGGTTGGGTCATTAGTGGTCCGTCTCCTGATCGTTCGTCCTTAAATTCTTCTTCCTTTAACTGCGTTACGGACGATACTTCTCTGACCGACCAAATCAAAACTTGGTATGAGTTAGAGTCGTATGGTGCGTTCAAGCAAGTAGATGCCCGTTCCGCCGCAGACAAGCGTGCTTTGTCGATCCTAAAAACTGAAACCGTTCACGATGGTGAGCGTTACACTGTACCGATGCTGTGGAGTGATAATGATGTTAGCTTGCCTAACAATTATTATTCTTCATTAGCCCAATTAAAGTCGTTAGAGAAAAGATTAGATAAAGATCCGTTACTTCGCGAGAAGTATACCGAAACAATCAGAGAAGATATAAGTAAAGGATATGTCATAACCGTCAACCCGCACGATCCCAGCTCACGAGCCGAACGTGAGTGGTATCTTCCACACCATCCGGTTTTGAACCCGAACAAACTCGGCAAGGTGCGCCGTGTGCTCAATGGAGCATCCAAATTTCATGGCACTTCCTTAAATAGATCTCTCTTGGTTGGCCCGGATCTCCTTCAAAATCTTATTTTTGTACTGTTGAGGTTCCGTCAACACAAGTACGCCGTCTCAGCGGACATAGAAGGTATGTTCTTACAAGCTGGAGTACTTGTGCGAGATCAACCGTCTCTCCGTTTTTTGTGGCGGGAGGACCCCACTTCAAGTGTGGTGGTTCACCAATACACCCGTCATATTTTTGGCGCTCGTGATTCGCCTACTTGTGCGAATTTCGCGCTACAAAAAACTGCTTCTGATAATCAAGCTGAATACCCCGAAGCCGCTTCAGCCGTTGTCCAGAAGTTTTACATGGACGACTATCTTGACTCGTTCGAAAATACCGCTGACGCTCTTAGCCTAAGTAAAGACTTAGTCGCAATGCTCAAATTAGGTGGGTTTAACCTGACAAAGTTTGTTAGCAATGTACCCGAAGTTACAACCGCTCTTAATCCGGAAAACCGTGAGTCCAACCCGTCAGTTAAGGATATTTGTAAGAGTCCAGACCAATCGTCGCATGTTCTTGGTCTCAGGTGGGATCATGTAAAAGATACCCTAGTAGTAAGTAGAGGTGTTGATCGACCACTAGATAAAGCAATTACTCAACGCACCGTGTTGAGTTTTGTTTCCTCAGTTTTTGATCCAATAGGACTGGTAGCTCCATATACTGTGAAAGCGCGCCTTTTACTAAAAGACATATGGAGAATCAGTGGTCAAAAGTGGGATGATGATCTCCCAGAGGAAATTAAACAACAATTTCTAGATTGGCACTCAGGACTTCCACTATTAGGTACTCTGACGATACCTCGTAGCTACTTTACCGAACCGTTCGACCGCTGTGAACTTCACACGTTCGGTGATAGTTCGCAGGACGTTTTTTGCGCCGTATCGTTTCTCCGAGCCCGACTTGCTAAATCGCAAAAGACCGAGTTAGCTTTTGTATTTGGGAAAGCCCGTGTAGCGCCTATGAAGATGCTCTCCATTCCCAAGTTAGAGCTTCAGGCTGCTCTGCTTGCGACTCGACTCAAAGAAGAGATTTTGAAAGCGCTTACTTTCAAAGTAAGCAATGTATTCATGTGGACTGATTCTACCACCGTTCTCCAGTGGCTTAACTCGTGCAACAAACTTCCTGTGTTTGTTGGAAACCGCACTGGTGAAATCTTGGAGTCCACCACCATTGATCAATGGAATCATGTACTGAGTGGTGATAACCCAGCTGATACCGGCACACGAGGGATTTCTTCGGAAGCCCTCAAGGATAGCAGCTGGATTAGAGGCCCTAGTATATTGAGGACATGTGATTGGCCATTCAAGCCGAACACTGATGTCATCAAAAAGATCCAATTAAAAGGCCCACTCTGTGACATTGATACATGCCTTGAGACTGCATCTACGTTTGTTGTTGATGCTTCATCTGAGAAAGCGCCGTCGATCCGTCTGTTTAAAAATTGGGATAAATTCAGCTCAATTGTAAAGTACAAACGTGTTTTAGCGTTTATGCTTCGTGTGCTACCATCGCATAAACACTTCCGTACAAAAACGCTTGAAATAACCGACCCGTCCGAGTTAGATATTGCCGAGCAGAAGCTCATTTATCTCGCTCAGTCCGAATCATTTCCTGCCGAAGTGAAAATACTTCAGTCCGATAAACTGATAACAAAGAAAAGTCGGATTGCTAAATATTCTCCGTTCATCGGCCCAGCTGGCATCCTGCGTTCAACTGGACGTATCAGCCGTCTTGTTGATACCGACTTTGATAGCAAACATCCAATAATACTGGATGGTCGACACCGAGTTGCTCATATGTTGATTAGGCATATGCACTTTCAACATGCACATCAGGGGTTGGATTACATGCGTGCTGTCGTTCAATTGAAATACATTGTTCTGAAGTTGCGCTGGTTACTTGGGAACATCGAAAATACTTGCATAACATGCCGTAAGCGCAAAGCAAAAACAGTTGTGCCCATTATGTCTGACCTACGATTGAAAGACTGGGTTACAAGCAGCCTCCCTTCTCCAACACAGGTGTTGATTATTTTGGCCCGTTTCAAGTGCCAATACGCCGAAGTACCGAAAAGAGATGGGGTTTCCTATTTACCTGCCTCACGACTCGAGCAGTTCACATCGAGTTGGTTCCATCTCTCGATACTAGTTCCTGCGTCATGGGCGTAGAGCGATTTATTGCAAGGCGAGGTACCCCCAAAACCATTCTTTCTGACAATGGCACGAATTTTGTTGGTGCTCAAAAAGAGCTCCTATCCTGTGTCCAAAATTGGAACAAAGTCGCCCCGGCCGTTTTCGTCCACAAAGGCATTAAGTGGAAGTTTAACCCGCCCAGTGCCCCTCATCACGGTGGCGCCTGGGAGCGGCTAGTGAGAAGTGTTAAGCGAGTGTTGTACGACATATTAGGCAACAGGAGATTAACTGAGGAAGTTCTAGGAACAACGCTCTGCCTAGTTGAACAATTACTTAACGCAAGACCGATCACTCCGGTCAGTTCCGATCCGCACGACCTAGAGGCACTCACCCCGAATCACTTCATTCTCGGTCACAGCGCAGCTAGCTTCCCGTCGTTAAGTTTCGAAGATAACTTTGATTATAAAAAGCATTACGCCAGAGCACAATCGTACGCTAACGCAGTTTGGTCACGCTGGCTGCGTGAATATGTACCATCTCTCAACAAGAGAGCAAAGTGGCATAATGATTCGGATGTCACACTGAAAACCGGCGACTTGGTTTGGGTAGTCGAACCCGACAGCCCACGTGGGCATTACCCACTCGCCCGTATTGTTAAACTACACTACGGCAAAGACGGATGCGCCCGATCCGCCGATATCAAAACTGTTACGAGCGAGCTGACACGACCGACCGTAAAACTCGCACCTGTTCTTCCGTCTTTAGGGGCGGAGGATGTTGCAGCGCAAATGTAAATGTGCGAGAGTATAAATGCATATAAAAGTAAATACATACAGGGACAGTAGCCAAGCGTATACATGGTGCGTCCCGGCGGGTTCGGCGCCGGTTCGAATCCCGACTAGGTCATTTCCTTTCTAGAACTCGAATGTGCACCGAACCTGATGGGATGCCCCGTAACCAGGTTCGGTCCCCCCAAAACCGATTTTAACCGTCTTTTCGCTCTAATTTGGTTCAGCCTTGATTAAGGCTGACCTTTAAAAAGAGCAATTTGTCTCAAGGACAAATACTGGCCATTTTTGCAGCTTGCTTTGATTTATGCAGTTTTTGTGGCCGATGTTACCGATGATAGAGTTTGTTAAAATTATCGTTATATTTTCAAATTTCCGTTATATTTCCGGAGTTATTTTGCCGAGAAAATACTCATTAATTAAATTGTTTAAAAACCGTTTTTTATATAATCTTGGAGATTGACGCGCACAGTATTTTTTGAAAAACACGAGTATTAAGACATTACCAATGTTGATTTATCATTAAAATTAAACTTATGAACCAGTAAACAGTCGGTATAAACATAAACACCAGTTGCGCCGAAAAACATTTGAAATAGAAAACTTTCTCAGCTATCAAAAAATTAAAAACTAGAGTTGAAAATTTCGAAAAAAGATAGCAATCCGACTCACAAACAATAAAATTATGATATGATACCACAGTTGACTCCAACTAGCTTACTCTGAGGTGCCTAAAACCGGCCGAAAAAATCAACCTACGCATTGTTCCATCAGCTTACAAAAAGGCTTTAAAAAGATTTTACTTTCGTGCAATTGCGTGGTAGTGGTATTTGAGGTACCTGATTCTGCTTGAAAAGAAAACAATCGATTTCTTTGATTCCCTTTCACTCGCTCGAGTGTTCTCGACTCGAAAAGGAAAAAAGTCACACTTTTTGAGTTTAATTTTTGTACACTACTACCCGGGTTGACTAAATGCAGTTTATCTGCGTGGTAACTGCCGGTTACACTCTGGGTTTTCTTATGACAAAAAATCCGTGGCTAGTGTTTCGGATGAAACACAAAATTTCAAAACAAAAATTCTTTGTATTTTTATTTATGGAAAAAATGCTTATCAAACAATTTCATAGTATGGAAAAAATGCTTATCATATAATTTCATAAAGCTTATTTTGCTATTTTAATACACTTACTTTTACTCTATGAAATTGTCTGAAAGAGTTGGATAAGCTTTTTTTTTTCAATAATGAAAGTCGTATGATAAGCATTTTTTGTCAGCACAGGATACCACGAATAGTAAATTCGCCGCTAATAAAACTATGCATTAGCGTTGTTTTTAGCTGGAAGAGTCCACTACCTGGGCTGGGAAGGAGTTCGAAACTCACTGCTCCCACTGTCTCAGTACCTCCGATGCTCAACTCACACCTGGTAAGCACCAGGGTTCAGACCTTCTTTTCTTTTTCCAGTGGGAGAAACTGATGAACCACGTTTTTTTTTGCGATTGGTTCCCTAGTTACAGGGGCGGTTTCATGGAGGGGGGGGGGGGGGGAGGGTTTAAAGCATATTCAGAAACTTGTTGACTTCTGTAGTTCGACCAATTTGTTTGTCAGGGCGCCTTAAGCATAAATTTTAGGGTCAATCTGATGTCGTAAAAAGTACCAAAGGAGTCCATTTTAGGTGGTTAAGTGGTCGAATCCCTGAAGAGGGGGACGTCCCCACCCCCAAATCCGATTCTGAATAGAACCTAGTTCAAATTTTGGCGAGTGAAAAAGCTTCCTCTTAACAAAGATCCCGTGTAAACTAAATTGAAGAAGAATGCGGTTGAAGTAGAGAAAAGTTATCAGATTTTTGGAATCTACTTGTATTCATTTCGTTCACAGGGGTGTCTTTCTCCAGTCTGCGTGCAGCACGTGCATTCGCTGTGCTCACTCTCATCACCGTGATCTTGTTCACGGCCGCAGTGCTCATGTTTTTGATCCTGGTCACGTGCGATGTGAAGCTACTCCCCTTGGAAAAGGTGTTCTGGTTTCTGGTCGTGACAGGTTTGATATTCATTCTGTTTTTCTCTGCGTTTAAATGGTAAAATCTAGAGCTGGTTCTTAAATACCATCAGTTATAAAAAGCGTAAGCCCAGTAAACACTGCTTTTGCATGTGTGCATTGGCAATGCATAACTTTTTTCTGAGACAACAATTGGCGATTGTCAGTTAGCTGAAAAACTAATCGGACCACTTATTAATGAGCGATGGAGGAAGGCCTTGGAACAGCAGATATATGCGTTTCGGGCCCTGAAATCAAAGGTATCGGGTCTAACTAGCAAAAAAATTTATTATTCCCTCCATTTGAAAAATGGGGAGAAACTTTGTATTCTAGTTTGTTTCAGTTTTTCTTTTTTTCTACTTTTTTGTTTTCCAAGCAAAATCAGGTAACACAAATAATCATCGAAATGTTCTGAGTGATGTATTATATGAACGCCCTTTTAGTCGCAATTCGAGCGACATTAAAAAGTTCGAGCGACATTCGAGCGACATTCCAAAAAACTTCCCAGTGTCGAGAAAAACCAATTTGAAATTTTTTTTGTTGTAATTTCGAGCTTATAAGGTGGGTGAGCTTCCAAGTTTACAATAGCTTATTTATGCTTAATGTAAGCCGGAAGCCCTAAAAATTTAATTTTACTCAAGTGAAGGTAGTTTTTGGAGTTTTTAGCGCAATTTTGGGATTTAAAAAGTTCAAAAACTCAAAAAAAAAATGGAAAAAGTTTGATTTTTTTTTCAAAAAAGTTTCTTCATTTTTTTCTGTTTTTCTAGACAGTTTTCAACAACAAATGTTTTTTAATTAGCTTAGTTTACTATGAGTGACGAATATGCCTGTTTTTACTTTTTTATACAGATCTTTTTATCAAACCAGCCGAAAAAAAACGACACTGTGTTTTGTGTTTTTTTTTAAAGTATGCTCGGAGCCTTCTGTTTTTTTTCGGCTATCCTTGTTTTCCTAAATAATCAGACAAGTAAATTGAAATATATCTGTAAGTTATGAAAAATTGAAGATGCCTGCTTCAATCGCGGAGTTTGCCTGCTTCAATTTTCAATCTGTTGGTACGATAGAAGAACTAGTTGCACTTAAATCAAATTTGAAAGCTAGTTCTTGCATTGCTCGACAAATTTTTTAGACAAATATGTTTCTCAACTGTTTTTTAAGGGTCCCATCAATATCTTGGTGATTTATTTATTATATTGGTGTAAACCCATATCCGGTTTTTGCCTGCAGTTTAGAAAAAAACACTTGAACTTTTTTATACTCCTCTCAAAATAGCCAAATATGCTCCTCTGCGCGTACATTTGGCACGAGTGTTATATTTTGGGGAGCGGTGGTGAAGTGGTTACGTCTCCGCCTCTCAATCGAAAGGTCGGATGTTCGAGGCCCACCATGATCCGTGCTCGTTGCTTGAGGGTGATGCAACTTTACCCAGCCCGCAAAAATAACCAAAAAAAGTGCATGTAGTTCTTAAACAGGGGCACAACAGCGGTTTGCCGTGATGAACTGTACAGTTCTTGTGTTGGTCCTTTCCCCGTGGATAAATGATCTTAATCTAATATTGCGCGTAAATATTGTGCGTGTTCGTTTTGGCGTTAATTCAAACTATTCTGTTTTTGAAATTGATAGCTTAGTTTTCAAATTGTGAGAAAGTTGTCTTAATTAGGGAGACTCAACTCAATATTAAGCGTGTCTTTATGTCTATCAATCAATCATGCGTCAATTGTATTACGTTGATTTGCTAAAAAAAACTCAATTTTCATGTTTCATGCTAAAAGATTGGTCTGCTAAAAGAAAGGTCTCCCAAAGTTTTTCTTCAGATCATATGTTTTGCAAGATGTATAATGTTTTGGACAGATAAAGTTACAAATAATAACAAAATTATCTGTATCAGGATGACGCCCTAATTGTTCCAACTACCTTTTGGTTTCTACAAAGAAGTTTTTTTTACTTGAAAAAAAAAATAATAAAAAAAGATTTGTTAGCCAATTAATATCACAACAGTTACGAAAAATAGCCCGCCATATTTTAGTTTGAATTAATTTGTAAGGTGCGGTAATTTGCCGTTGACGCCTTTTCGATTAGAATTTATAGAAATAGCACTCCAGATCCAAGGGTTCCGACAGTACAAACTTGATAGTTTGGTTTCGCAAAAAGAAAGATTTGTCCCGCAGCATTTGTTGCAGCTTCAAAGCCACAAGTAATTAAATGCGAACCTTGTTTCCTACGTTTTTAAGGCCTAGAGTCTTTCTTAGAGATTCGTCGTAATTTTAGGAACCCAACTATCATACTCTTGTCGCTGCAATACTTTCATTTAAAAGTCGGGCCAAGAGATGGTGACATAGAAGCCATTCAAAGTAAAAGCCAGCTACCATATGAGCTCGCCAAAACCCAAAGCGGTTTCCTGATAACTCTTATGTAACTATTATGCCACAACCAGGAAAATCAAACTCACCAGCATCTCAGAGAATTGATAAAAATCAATTATAATGGATTTTTGTGGTCCAAAATGTTAACAATATAATCGATTCCCATGTTCCCCACAGAATCTAATTCGATATTTTGTCAAACTTGAAATTAGTTATAATCCATTTAAGATCATTTAAAAGTAATTTCTTTTCAACTTCATTTTTAAATCGAGCCGTGCAAAGTTCGCATGAATTTCTTCCTTCATCAAATGAGTAATGCCCTTTACCCCCTCCCTCCTACAAATGCTTTCCCCTTAACCTCACCAACCCCCCATCCAAATCAACCCTCGTAATCCAAATCAACCCTCGTAACAAAAGTAATGGAATATTTGAGCTTGTGTGATTTTTTTCTTTTCAGACAAATTTCGACTTTTTAACTGGCCACTTTTGACAAAAATTCTTTACATCACTCAAAAAGTATTGTTGTCTTGAGCTCAAATGCAAAAAAAATGTTTCACCTGTGATCATTTTTTATGAAGTTATGGGGTTTAAATATTGCTATTTGTGTCAATTTGGGACAACTAGCGTGCGATAGATTTCGCGCTTTCAACGCGTAAGCAGGGATTTAATCCGTCTTAGAAGCTGTTCCAAATTGGTTGAAGGAAGATTATTTGCCATTATTGATATAATACTACGAGCGAAATATCAGTGTGTACTTTTAATGGCGTGTGGTGGATACTATTCACAAAATAAAACTCGAATTATTTTTCTTTTTCATTTTATTCTTATTACATTTAAATTTTTCAGGTTATTACTACTCCATAGACCTTAAAAGGCAGTCGGAACATTCAGTGCTTCGCCCTGATACGAGCGGTCTTGTTTCAGTTTGTGGCAAAAGGTCCTAATTTACTAATTTTGATAATTTACTTATTTTACTAATTATAACCTAAAAACGCTTTTGTGGCCTGTTTTTTCAAAAGTTTGCCTGCGGCGCAAAAAAATTGGTTACAATGGGTTTTTATAGTGATTTGGGAGAGCTCAGAAAATCAATTTGGTCGCCCTAAAAAAGGTCGACAAAATTTTCGAAATTTTTTCGAAAATCCGCCCCCCTCGAGAAAATCCTAGATCCGCGCCTGATCATACGAGCTGTTTATTACTCCCCGGATAACTACCGTTATGTCCTGAGTTATTATAACACCATGTAGTGTTCTGTTTTTTACCAGTCTGGATTGTGTTGTCTGAGCCCTCAAGCAAAAAAATACTGTATATTGTAACTGTTTCCAGGTATCATTCAGTGGACTCTTTTCCTCGTGACACTCATATGCACTTCGAGCTTCATGAACCAACTGGACCATGTCAACTTCTCAAACGGAACTTCAGCGGAAGTAGGCGCACTGGACTTCGGCTACGGAAAGGTCAAAGCAGTTCAAGCGTACATAAAAACCAACATTATTGGTCAAAGTTGATTTTAACTTGAATTTCTCATTAGAATCACATTTTAATGAATTTGCACTTGAACGAAATCGTCATACAAGAACTGGTTTGGGAATTGCATGTAATTTTAGATTCCCAAAATGTGTACGTTCAAAAACAATAGTAGAAAAGTGATTAATATGAATCCCCCATTCAGAGGAAAAATTAGGGTACGGGTTTAACAGAGTGGATCCAGTGCTATGTATCCAAGGGATTTGGGATCTCTTCATAAGTATTTCCCAGCGTGTACAAAGGGGGGACTCGTAACTAGGTTAAAAATATTACATATGCTTCACCGTTGATTAGAAGTTTACACGGGTTGCAACTCGTTTCTAAGGTACCGGTTTAAATCCTTAAATTTACCATTGAACAAGATTTATTATATTGATTGAGTCTTTTCTGTGTTATGGTGGCCTAATTTGAACCTTTTATTTATTAGAAATGTTAATTAATCACCGGCAATCGATTTTGATGGGTTAAAATGAATCAAAAACAAAATACAAGATCTTTATTTAGCAGTAAAGCTTTCTTGATTTTGGGCCGCCGTATGAAATAAATGAGCCGGCAGTTTACAGTGTGTAGTCGAATTAATGAAAAAATAACTTTCGTAATAAGTATGTTTGCTTGAACTGTGTCTCAAGGTCATGTCGTGGATCACATTTTTTGTGCTGATTGTTCCTGTCGGGTTAAACGGGTTCATGGCATACGAGTTGGTCACTGGAAAAGCCTCGCCAATGGGCACGTAGACGACGAAGACAGCATTTCAGTGGAAAAAAGTAGAGGAAAACGAAATTCAATAAAAAAAAACTTCGACCCTGTATCAACTTTAAATTGTGCGTAATTTGTACTTTCATCTGGACATCATTCAGATTGTTTTTTGGCATGAAAAATTATCAAAAAAAAAAATAAGAGAGTGAATTATTTCATTCAATATTTTATATGCGTTATCTTTGATCATGCGAACTCTTTCTCCCCTGAATTAAAAAAATTGAACGATCTCCCTATATTAATAAATTTTAAATCTCTATGCAGTTATCGAACGTGTGGAATGATAGATTCTGATATGATGAAAGAATACACTCCCCCAAGTAAACGCTGCATATAAACCGGAATTAAACAAGACTGCTCGTATCAGGGCGAAGCCCTGGATGTTCCGACTGCCTTTTGGGGTTTCATGAGCAGTAATAACAAAAAAATTTGTTCCAAATTGGCCAAAATGGCAATCTTTAAACCCCCATAACTTTATGAAAAATGGTCACAGGTGAAATATCTTTTCAAATTTAAGCTCAGGACAACAATACCTTTTGAATGATATAAAAAAATTCCGTCAAAAATGGCTAGTTAAAAAGTCGAAATTTGTCTGAAGAAAAAAAAACCCACCCCGAGCACAAATATTCCGTTACTTTCGTATCGAAAGTCGGAACAATAAAACTTTTTTTTTTAATTTTTATTTTCCCTCTTCTAAAATTATCCTATCACAGGCAAGGTCATTAGAAAAAATAAAAATTCTGCGTAAGTTAATGCATCATTTGAATCAAAATATTCGTCCCAATTGAATTTTGGATAGTTTCTGAGCCGGATTAGTTTGATTCAGACATTACTCATAGATAGAAAAGTGGAAGTTAATCGCGAATTTAAAATCCCGACTTGGAGCGCAAATAGTACTCCAAAAATAATTTACAAGAAAATATAGCAGAGTTTCAGTGTTAAGTTTCAAACTCAAGATATCAATAATTTTCAAATTCTAATAAAATTGCAATCAGTATTCAGTAATTTAACTGAACTTTTCATTTCAAAAGCATACTAGATCAGGTGTTTTACTAGATGAACTCCTAAGTTTTTTTTATCGATCAAACAAAAATCTATCATACCGCTAAAATAGGCTGACTAAAGTGTGAGTAATTCTAGTGCTTGCTAGGTCCTGGAAAGAAACAAAACTGCTCGTATCAGGGCAATACCCTGAATATTCTGTCTGTGCTTTGATGTCTATAGCTTCAACTTTAATAAAAAAGGAAGACAGATTGGTAAAATATCAAAAACAATAAGTTTTGAGCTCAAGATTTTTAGAAAAAAAACCGCACAAGTATTTGGGATTTGAATTTTTCAAAACTCCCAATGCAATGAGGTGAAAATGAAAATGCGTCGAGTTGTAACGTTCTTTCACTTTATTTGAAAGTTGGACTTATCATTAAAAAAAGTAACCACAGTTTTTATAAGCATTTTGTTGGATGGGATGGTCAAGTAAGAAAAAAAAGTTTTGTGCTCATGTAAAATACTTACAAAGATTATCAGTTAAAAAGGTACTCAAACTTCTTATAAAATTCGTTTTCCCCATTCAGAGAGCCAAGCAAAAACAGTTTTTTTTTTAAAAAAGGTAAAATCAAAGTAATTTCGCTGCTTGCTTATAAAATCTAACTACTCAACCTTAACTCTACTTGACTGAGTTCACTTAAATTTTGTTAGATTTACTTCATTCACACGGGCTGACGTTCTCAGTTTAGCGCTCGACTGAAAAATGACTAGTAGCAGTTTTGCGACTAAAATTTAGCTTCGAGAAGCAATTTTAAGACAGGCACAAAGACGAAACATACCCGAATTTGGTAGCAAAACTTAAAACATAGGTCAAGCACAGTCGAAACATAAATCGAGAACTCTCGAAATATAGTTCAAGCACAGTCGAAGGATTTGCTTAGCAAGATCGAAATATAAGTCAAAAATGGATGAATTTTGCCACCACAATTCAGACACAAATCTTTGTGGTTAAAACAACAGTCATCAATTTATTTAACCTTGAAATGGCAAATACAGTTATCGCTTATTTTTGAGCTAAATGTATAAAATCTTTTGTCTGCTGAGCTCACAAAACTGTAAAACTGATTCAATAGCAGAAAAATGTATTATATTTGCTTTTGAAAAATCAGAATGGAAGGCCGCAAAAACGCCTACACGTGCTCCCAGGAAAAAAATTTCGTAGCAAAAATAAATTTGTTGCCAGAAAAACGAAAACCCAAAAAAACAATCAAATTAAACAAAAAAAATAAAGATTGAAACAACCGCCATTAGAATCTTATAACAAAAAAAATGACAAATACAGACAAATATGTCACTAAATGTGGAGCTAAAACTAAAAATGAATTTTTTGTATAACTTTTGCATTTAAAACAGTAAAATAGCAAATAAAATCAATTACGAAGACAAACTGCACTCTGGATAGGCGCTTAATTTTGTGTCTGAATCTTCCTGGATTCCAGAGACAAATCTTTAAAATTTTGTAGGAAGGATCAAAGAAAATGAAGGAACAGAAAAAAACGACATTGTTGCGCTTGTTGCGGAATCCGCTGACAATTCACAAAATGCGCAGTTCGGCCTGTCGATTGGATATGCAGTTAGCTAGACCAGTTTTTTTATGCTGGCAACTTAATAGAACGCTACGCATACACCTGGTCCTGACATCAAGCTTCGGCACTATTTCTAGGGCAACGTTCAATCGTCACCCACAAAAACAAAACGCTAGAACTTTTTTGTAGCAAAATGGAAAAATTGCTCATCATGCTAATTTCATGGTATTTTTCGGTCTATAAAATAGTATGAAATAGTATGATAAACTTTTTTTTCATAAAATAGAATAGTATGATAAGCATTTTTGTCAACCCGGGGTACTTTCACGCGTCTAGATTTTTTGCAGCCGTAATCGATCAGGCTGAGATATACCTGAAGCTAGAGGTCAAGTGAGAGCTATTATTGCCATGACAGAGGAGCGACTACATGATCTGACGGTCTGAAAGTGAACGCCTTTTCCACTATGCTAAATGCCTCACTAATTTCTTGGTTGATAAAGTTGAAAATCACCCGTTTTCGGTTGATGCGGTCCGAAATATACCAAATACCAATCTCGCGGTCGAGAATGTCGAAACATAAGTTGTGTCACACAAATGATTGATTATTTGAAACTGAGGAAACTGCTTATTTTTATACAAGAACACGCTTAAGTCAAAATTTAGCAGTCCAATTTAGAAGTCTTATTAGAGGTCTAAGTTCACGTGAAAAATATCTGAGAAGCGGCAATTATATTATAGTGTTTATCAAAAGATAAGCATTGAATTGTTTAAATTGTTAAAGAAATGTAAATATTCTTAATCAAAACTTGTATCAAAGTTAAAGATAGAGCAAATTCTATGTACACAAAGAGGCCACACCTAATTTTCGATCAGAGAAGCAGGCATCCTTTTGATTTTTTCTTTTTCTTCTCTTTTACATCAGGATAGAGAACTACTCTAATCGCCTCGTCGAACACCTCCTTCAGTCCCGATTGAGTCAGAGCTGAGCACTCCATATACTTTTTGCAGCTCTTTCCCACCTTCTTGGCAGCATTTTGGCCCTCTGCTGCAGTGATTTTCTCAACCTGAACAAATCAACTTGAGAAAGTTTTCAGAGTTTATCGAGCAGCCGATGGCTTTTGAAAACGCTCAAATTATCATATCATCATATAATCAAATTAAGAAAACAAGATTTAAATGAGACAAATTGATATCCTGATCTTCTTGCTAATATCTACAAAATATATCGTGAGCCTTAAGTACGGTAATTTAAAATAACCAACTGTACCTTAAATTTTCATGTTATTTTTGGTATGAAATTCACAAAACCAACCCAATACTTGTTGGTGAATATCTTACAAAAACTGATGCGAGCAAAATGACGATGGCAAATTATGACTGGGCTCAATTCTGAGTTACATAATGACAACCGAATCTAATTGGCCAACTAAAGAACAGTTCTACACGGTCAACTCAACGAAAAAAAAAACAATTTTCTTTCCGAAAACTTGGCGCAAAGCAGGAGCGGATTTATCAAGGGCGAAGTTCAAGTCCATTGACACCCAAACCAATCATCTTTGGTCCATTTATGGCCAACCGATTCTGAAAACTTTCTAAAATTTATTCAAAGTAAACTAAACGCGCCGAAATATATAATATATGTGGGGAACGCGCCGAAAACATTTCTAATCTCAAAAAGTGCCTTCATCACATGTATTTTCTTACATCAAATTTGTCTGCGGCAGGGGCGGATCTAGGATTTTCTCGAGGAGGGGGGGGGGGGCGGATTTTCAAAAATTTTTTCCGAAAATTTTGTCGACCTTTTTTTAGGTCGACCGAATTGATTTTTTGAGCTCTCCCTAAAGCACAGTTAGGGTCTGTATTGGCCAAATTTTCTGCGCCGCAGGCAAAATTTAAAAAAAAAGGGTCCAAAAAAGCATTTTTAGGCACTTTTTGGAAAATTTTGACCTAAAAATGCGTTTTTAGGCGCGCGCTCCCCCCGCCCCCCTCAAAATTTGTATATATTGGCGCCAAAGGCGCCTTTAGAAACATTTTAAGGTCGGTCGGCCAAAATTGGATTTCTTAAAAAGTACCAAAGGGGGACCTGAAGAAGAGATTCGCCCCCCCCCCCCCCCCCACCTAAATCCGCCCCTGGTCTGCGGCACAGAAAGCTTCCACAAATAAGGTCTTTATAGTGCTTTGGAAGGGGTCCGAACCTCTATTGGTCGACCTAGAGAAAAAGTTGTCAGTTTTTTCGAAAATTAAAAAAAAATAGACGTTTTGAAAACAAGTGTAAAATTTGGGTTGACCTCCTGGTCTCGCAAGTCCATTTTGGTTCCGATCAGCAGATTTGGGGTGTTTGGAGAATAGTGTTGGACTTCAGGGAGCCACTTGGCGAACACATTCTCAAGAGTGGCCCTTCTGACCAGTGAGAAGCAAAGGAGAAATATGTCCGTGTTGGGATAGGACAAGGGTCGCAATCGGTCATAGTCGTCCTGACCTGAAAAAGAAGAAGCCGCCAAATCACAGATTATAATTGAAACAGGCTTTTTATTACGACGCGGGCATCTCACTTTTCTTATTTCAAGAAAAAATATACAGACACGAAGCTTGATTATTAAGATTAATTAAGATTATATTCAAGAAATCTACCTAAATTATAATATAGATAAAATTTCTCGCAGAAGGTATTTTTTGTAATATCTAGACGAGGACGTTTAAGAAAATATACTCTAAAAACGTTTCTAAGCTCCTTTTCTTGAAATAAGAAAGCTTCGATGCTCGAGTCGAAATAAAAACAATGTTTTAAATTGTACAATTCTTCAAAATGAACTAAATTATCACTGAAATAGCACCAAATTGAGCCATTGAGCCAGCGCATAAGATATTTTTTTATTATCTAGACGTAATAGGTGAACATTTGTACTAGTTATTCAGAAAAAAAATGAAAATTAATTAGATTGAAATAAACTTTAGATTGAAAGAAATTCGAAATCCAAAAATAGCAGATTTGGTTACATTTCATTAAATGTAACCAAATGTAACCAAATCCAAAAATAGCAGAAGTGTAACCAAATCCAAAAATAGCAGATTTGGTTACATTTCATTAAATGTAACCGCTGGTGATATTTTTTACACAATTTTCAAAGCAATATTCAGACCCACATTATATGTATTATTGTTATACCTAATAAACTTTGTTTTTACAACGAAATGGCTTACATTAACCTTGGTGTGTGTCGGAAGTTCCGACCAATTCGATCAAAAGTGTCTCTCTTGCGGCGGACTAGTTCCAGCTGGTTATGATTTGACTTAACTGAGCTTTAGGACCAATTAGTCATAAAATTTAGCTTGTTCTCATATTTTTTCAAACTTGAGCCGAAAATGCCGTTGCCCAAAATTGCGTTTTTCCAGCATTTTTGAAGCATACGGGTCCGGAAAGAGACTAAAAAAAAGTTAAGGGCTTTAACGGGCAAAAATTTATGTCATTATTACTAAAGGAGGAACCGTTTGGTTGGTGACGTCATCGAGATCCACAGGGCTCGTCCGCTATAAAACTCACTCGTCCCAATACATCTGTTTTTTTTTAGTGAGCCGACAGAGTAAAAAATTTTTTCTACTGTGTTTCACTCTAAAGAGCCATGTTGAGACCAACTCGATGGAACGAATATGTGTCTTAAATAGTCTCTGTTTGAAAAGTCTGATTAGCGACCGATTTGACATATTGACCGATTAAAAAAAAACGTTCATCAGTGTTTGACTAAATCATATCATATCTTAATCAGGGATGAATATAGTATGTTGGTCCTATTCCTAGAGGTCAAATGCAGCCTAGAGGTCACATTTTACAGTCATGTTTCGACTATGATTGTTTAAATTTAGAACACTGTTTCAAAAACTTTTCAGTAAGGTTATGCGCATTTTTTTTTATTTGTGGTACCTGCAAATAGCGAAGGAGCTATCGGTTGGCCTTAACTGGCCTGTCTTAGTTTAGTTTATTTTTTCTTTTTAAAAATTCGACTACGTTTCGACTCTGGATTCAGCTACATGAATTTTCTTTGTATATGTCTTCTCGACTTTGTGGTGGAAACCATTTCGACTGAGCTCTTGCACAGTGACGAAAATAGATTAAAATCGATTATATACAGAAAAATCTAGAGATTAACGTAAGTATAGAAACTATTCATCTCTAAGCGTTTTGCGAAGAATACTTGATTCTTTTTCACTAAAAAATGAATATAACTGCCAAAATAATAGACTTTTCTGTTCTATGAAACCTGTATATAATCTGTACATAATATAAATAAAAATTGTACATAGGCTGTATATAAAATGCAGATAATATGTATATACTCTGTAGACAATCTGTATACAGCATGCTTGAAATTGTACCCAGAAAAAAAAACAGTTTTAGATTGTTTCGGTCATGAATATACAACGAGAAAAAACAGTATCAAATTTTTGCAGAATAAAGCTCCTTAAAATTGATTCTTACAACTTTTTGAGTGAAAATTTACTTTAAAAAATTACAATAGATTTTGAATTTGTACATTTTCTTGTAAATAATCAATTTATTGTTCTGACTTTCGTAACGAAAGTAACGGAATATTTATGCTCTGGTGTTTTTTTTCCTCAGACGAAATTCGACCTTTTGACTAGCCAATTTTGACGGAAATTTATTTTATATCATCCAAAAGATATTGTTGTCCTGAGCTTAAATTTGAAAAGATATTTTACCTGTGATCATTTTTATAAAGTTATGGCAGTTTAACGATTCCCATTTTGACCATTTGGAACAATTACCGCCCAATATTTTTCGTGCTATTAACGCTTGAGCGGAGATTTAATCCATTGGAGAAATGGTTCCAAATTGCGGAGAAAACGTTTCATTTCGAGATTTGAAGCGGAGAAATTGTTCCAAATTGGTCGAAGGAAGCACTAAAAGCAAAATCTATCACTTGTACTATAAATGGCGAGTGGGGGGGATGATTTTCACAAAAAATCTCTATTTAAAAAAAATTCGTATCATTTTATTACATTTTATTATATTAATGTTACTACTGCTCCATATACCTCAAAAAGCAGTCCAAAAATCAGAGCTCCACCCTGATGCGAGCAGTCTTGCTTGTTTTGGTCACTGCGTACAGCCAACCGAATGTTTCGAATTTGTTTGTGTTTAAACTAACAACTGCGTAGCATGGATTTTTGGTTTAAAAAATTGTCGTTCCCCGACCCTGAGTTAGAAAAATTTAGATTTTTCCCTATACACAGAATTTTAAAAATTAGGGTACATTTGCGCATCTCCCTCCTGAATAACAAAACATTAAAATGCAAAAGTTTGTCAAAAATTGATATATTATAAATCAGAAATGCACGATTTCATTTTGCAGCTGGCCACAAGGAAGCAATTTTGTCTAATTCAGTCTCAAGCTTGTTCTTCTCTCAAATTTCTTGCCAATGTCTCCGTATAAATTGAATATTTCTCGAAAAAAACTTCTCACATGTTTTGGAAAAACGAGTGATAGCGCAATGTTCCATGCTTTTTTTTTGAGTTTTTAAAAACATAATTTGCCGAATTTTTGTTTTGGGCAAGCTAAGCTTTTACTTTTGTGTTGTCTCCTAAAAAAGATCAATTTGTGCTCTTTTCACAATAAATAGTCTCATTGGGCAAAAAACACCTGCACAGCCAAACATATAATAAAAGCGATATATGTATTTAAAAAGATGTAGATCAAATTGAGATCAGTTTCTGAGTAAGAAAGCAGGAAAGTTTTTTTAAAAAAATTTAGAAAATTTTGGATCAGTTTTTTTTTCGATTGTCGATAAAATCATATCGATTTACCCAATAAAATAGAAAACAGATGCAAAACATTTTTCAAAATTATCCATTTGGACGCAATTGACACAATTAATTTTCAGCAATTAAGTAATTAATTTAGAAAAACTTAAGCAATTGCAAAACAGTTACATCATATCAAGATTATGAAAATTGAATGAAAAATTATAAAAATTTGAAAAACTAATGATGATTAAATTTTGAAAAACGTTCCCAACATGAGTTCATCATATTGTTTCTTTTATTTGCATTTCAGGCCAGTTTTAATTCGCAAATTTTTGGATTATTTGATGAGCGCATATCAGTTCGTTGCTCTCAAGTGTTAAGAAAACTAGAAACAAGACTGCTTGTATCAAGGTCAAACCCTGAATGTTCCGACTACATTAGTTTAATTTCTATGAAATAGTTTAGAAAAAAAATAAATTATCAAATTTTTATTAAAAATATGAAAAAAATTTCAATTTTTTTGAGGTTTTTTGAAAACCATCACCACACGCTATGTAAAATACAAAATAATATAATTTGCATAAATCAATGCATTATATAAACCAAAATGCATGCCTAAATCCAATTTGGAACGATTTCTAAGACGGGTTAAATCTCCGCTTCCAAATTAAAAGCACAAAATAGATCGCACGTTGATTGTCTGAAAATGGATTGAGCCCATAAATTTACAAAAATAGCTCACAAGTGAAATATTTTTTCAAGTTTCAGCCCAAGGCAGCAATTTCTTCAAACTTTTAGAGCAAAAAGATATTCAAATTGTCGTACCTGCAGTGTCCCATAGCCCAAGGTGAACATGTTGTCCGTTCACACTCACTAGTGCCTGGAAGTTATCGAAAACAGTTGGGACATAGTCACTGGGGAACTTGTTGGAAGTATAGCTGATCAACATACACGTCTTCCCCACCTCCCCATCCCCCACAGTCACACACTTGACTGACTTGCGACCATCAGAGGGGGGCTGTGACATCCTTCAGTAAAAATCTATTGTACAAACATAGACAATAGATAGTTGGCGAAGAGTCAATAAACGCAACAAAATACTGACTTTCAAAATAAAAAAAGAAATATTTCGATATATAAAAATATATATGGCCGTAAAGATCTTTAAAAATCAATGAAAATTTATGGTTGACTTTTTTTTATACAACTGACCCAATTTGAGAAAACTGGATTAATAAAACTCTATAAAATCTACTGGAAAAACTAAAATTCAAAACTAGGAGACAATCATTTTTTGTGACCTTTAAACTTTTGTTCGATATAGGAGATGTCCTTCATCCTTCATTTTAACAAAAAAATTAACAGGAGTTCAAACAGGAAATAAACTGAATTTAAAAAATTAATAATTCAAACCGCAAAAAAAATCAAAATTGAGTGAAAAATTTTTAAGTTTGTTTTTCAGAAAATTTATTCACAATAGCAAAGAATAATCTAAGAGCTGTTTTAAGAATAAAAAACAATTTTATGGTTATTTTTTGGGCTGCCCGCACTAAGTAGTTGTATAGGGATGATCTGGAATTCCTCAATCCTGTTTTTGGTAGATTTTTAGATATGTTTTTTCTTGTATCAGAGACTTGGATCTCTGAAATGAACGTAAAAATGAAAGTTTCAGAACTGGAACATCGGATTTTAAAATTTTGCGGACCTTTTTTTTCTAGAACAATCAGTTTGATTTTCCAAGCTCTCTGAAAGAACTATAAGGACATTAAATTGTCAAAAAATTTCTTTGTCAAGCAAAACTTTTAAAAACAGGCCAAAAAGGCGTTTTAGGCCTTTTTTGGAAAATGTTGACCAAAAAATTTGCATTTTTTCGGCGCGCACTCCCCCGCCTCACAGAAAATAAGTTATGTTGGGGGTTAGATTTGAGATTAGTCAGCCAAGAAAGGATGTCCTACATTATACCAAAGGGAGGACCCTTTGGAAGAAAAAATTGGCAACCAGAAGCAATCAATCTCTCGGCACACTACTGTTGAGCACACAATTGATTTCAAGCAGACAATTGATTTTGCTTCTTTTCATTTTTTTGCAATATGCATTAATATAAGACCCGTACTGAACAAATTTTTTAACTCTGACGAGAAATACTTAACTTCTGATATGAACATTTGGCCAGAAATTCTTTTGGAATTGCTTAAATAAAGGAGGGATTTCGTTGAAACTCTTTAATTCTAATGTTTTCCAAGAAAAATCCTAAATCTAGGCTCTGGTTCTAGCTAGAAAAACAAACTACTGTTGTGGACTGACGGTTGTGCTACCCGCTAGGCCACATTACTTGATACTTTTGAATAGTTTCAGCAATCATTCCCAAAAAATTAATGGTTATAACGAGTGTTACTTTGCATTGTATTGCTACAGCTAATGTGTATACTCGAAGAATTTTTATCTCGTTGCGGTTGAGCAGTGAACTGATTTTGCTTATTTATCCAGAAGTTGTATATTTCTAATGTTAGCTGGGAAAAATATTTAGAAACAGAAAACATAGAAATTAGGTTAGATTGTCTATAAAAAGTTTCTATGCAAATTAAATGCTTTTGTTGCATTCAGGGAATCATTTGCGACAATAATTCCAAATATAAACAAAATCACATTTTTTTCAAATTTTATTTATGGTCTAGGCATCATGATTGTAAAAAGTTATCATTGAGTTTCAAAATTTTGATTTTCATGCGCTTAAAGATTTTGAGATGTTTTTAGGGAAACCTTCTTCAGCATTCTCTGATGCTCTAGCAAAAAATATAAAACACTGAGCTACCCAAAAACAAAAAATGCGACGTCAAATTATAGATATATTCAGATTTGAAATAACCACAAAAAAAAACATAAGATCTGAAATGAAGATCTGAAATAAATATTTTCAGATGTGAAAAAAAAACAATTAAAAACCATTTTTGATTAGAAATTAGATATGAAAAACCCTGATTTTGAATCATTGAAGCATCTAATCGGTATTTTAACATTTCATCCAGTTCAGATCTGAAGTTATAAAGTAAAAAATGTAATTGTAAGCCATCCCCAACGAATATATTTGGTACGGGTGTGTAATGATGCCTCACACACAAGAGTTTGGATTGCGGTGGGCTTCGATCAAGGGACCTTTCGATTGAGAGGCGGAGATGAAACCATCGCCCCCTTTCTGAATGAATTATGACAGCTCGGCCCCTTAAAAAAGCGGATATCATTAGTAAAATCCCCAATGAGGTCAGATTGTTTTTCTCAAAACTTCAAAATCACCTTATAAGTGGTAAATTGTGCCAAATTGACATTGACAAGAAACAAAGCATGCATTGAAGATTGGTTCATCACTTATTTTCCTAAAAGTTTTGTCATGCGAGATTTTTTTTAGATTCAGCCTTTATTTTTGTGAGCAAACTTCATTAACTTACCTGATCTGCTTTTATAAACTTAGTCCACGCAAACAAGTATTATCCGATTTGCAATATAGCACGTCTTCCGGGGATCTTCGATAGAATTTATGCTAACTTTCTTGAAGTATTCCGAAATTTTATCAATAAAATTTATGCAGTTTCCCAATTTCTAGCAATAGATTGTTTTCAGATTTTGCAAAACAGCTTTAATATTACTGTGATTGAAAGATCTTTAAATATTTGTTGGGATAAAAAATATTGCCAATTTAGCAACAAGAGGGGTAAGTAAAATAAGCAACAAGCGGAAGACAAGCAAATTTAAAGAAAACTGAGAACAGTTTGAATAAATAAGAGAGTTAAATAATCTAGTCAGAAAGTTGCCGTAAAATTCATCAAAAATGAGCGAAAAGTCAGGCCAGTAATGTGAACAATAAATGTTTGCGTCATGTAATTTTTCACATTTGATAGTTTTTATTCTACATCAAGAAAGTTCTAATTCGACAAATGCATAAACACAAAACACACACACATATATTTTCATTATAAGTAGTTTTCATTTATTTTCAAAGCTTGATAAACATAATTAATCTCAACTACGCTGATCAGAGACTGCGATTTATTAATAAAATTCCTGTTTAGATGGTGCAAATCTACAATATGTGTGCTGATTTTCTGATGTATATTTAGTAACTTATGGTCAAACGAACCAGTTCTGTTCTGGCCTCAAAATACATTTATAAACTAGAGTCGAGTCACACTTTCGAGTTAGAAATATAAAAGTTACTTTGCCGATCGTCAAAGGTCTTGTTTTGTGCGTTATGCCCCACTGAGAGACGAAACAATGGTTGAATCATGATTTTTGCGATACGATTGCAAAACAGTAAATGGGCAAATAAGTGCACAGAAACTGATGGCTTATTTCGAGAATTACAACTGCTTCCGAAAGACAAAGCTGTTCTAGTCTGTTGAAAGTTGTGCTGTTGATAAAAATAGTTATCGCTTGGACAAACAAAATACAAAACAAATTCGATTTAGTGAATGGGCATCCGACTAGCTAGCAGAGCTGGCTTCGATTACGTATAAAAACCTATAGCGTGGGTAGCTATGCTTAAAATCAAAGTGATTTTTGATGTTGAAACTTTTATGCGCGACAATGTGCGATATCTAGTCTATGTACCAAAAAGTGATTTTTTTTTCTCGATACATGGAGATTTTATCACGCTGCGAGGTTCATCATGGAAATGGGTTCAAATGATTTTTCACATTTTGTTTATTTTTGTTCTTCCCTGCAATGAACAAAATGGATAAAAGATTAAATTGTTTTTCATATTTCAGGTAGTTTCTCAGCGAACCCTGGTGGAATATATCTTTGTTATATAAACATATTTTAGTGCAACTTTTAGTTTGAACAGTTGATCTGAGTTTGGTTTATTGATGCGTTTGAAGCTGTTTGTCCTTCACCTAGAAGGTTACTTGAAATCTAGTTGTTGAACATCTAAGACAGTTGTTGAGTTAATGAATATTGATTACAGTTGGGCAATTTATTACACTGAAATGACGTATTGAATACAACGTTTTTATCATGGCGCAGCAAGCGATACGGAGCGGGAAAAAACCCAATTAGAATAACGCCACTCTGGCCGAGTCATGGCACGGGGGCAACAATGCTATGGGAGCATTGGATAACTGACTTTAACTGGGAGTAATATATAAGCGAGGGTTCAATCCCACTTCCTTCTATTCGTAAAGACGCTCACGGCAGCTCAAGTTACGCACTATCTTCGGACTTGCTTGGAGAAAGCCGTACTGAAGCCGACAGAACACTGATCTCAAACCTGTTCCAATGTCTGAGCAAACGAGGGGAGGACGAATTACACAAGCGTATACCCCACTTAAACTTTTCGGCGATGAGGTATCCGAGGGTGCTGGACGCGTTTGAATATGTATGAATAATGCAATGAAACCTTGGAATGAAAGTGGAAACGTGCCAATTATCGTCAAGGAGGCAACGAGCCGGAGAAACGATGGAGATGTTTCACTCACTCCCTAGTAGATTAGCAGCGAGGTGCAGCCTGGAGACCCTCGAGCGCAGAGTTCTACGAGATCTGTTCATCGTCAACATGTCTAATAAGGTCTTTCCATCAAAACTCCGGTTGAGGAGTACCCGATTGCACTGTCATACGAGCGCTGGGATAAATATGTTAAGAGTTGAAAAGAGGCGGACGGAGGTCTCGCTGCAACGCCGGTGGGGCGTTTAAAAAAAACAGAGCGAAAAAGCTCAATTCGATGAGTTATCGCCAACCATTCCAACGGGGTGGAAGACAATCGTACAGAGGCGCCAGTCGTGGCTGAAACAGACCGGATAAAAAATGTTTCAACCAAAAAGGATTCACAGCTGACCACGAAAAGATCCAGCGCGAAATGCAATGCATATTTTTTGTAAGGACATTACGAGTGTACCTTTCGAGGACGTAACGACGCGGGCAGAGACCAAGTGCACCTTTTTCATGGGTACAAGGTTGACGAAGAAAAATTTACAGAGCTCGGCGAAGTAACATCCCTACACAAAAAATCAGTCGGTTGGGAAAACGAGGCGCAAAAAGTATCCTGCGGATGTGATTCGGTTAGTTTTAACAGTTATATCGTGATTTCCATTCCACAGAAAAAGGAGGAGGAACTGAAAAAAGTTGGGGTTAAACTATCCTTGAAAGACAACATGAAAGTAATGCAAGCATGGATGGACAATGGCTCGCCGGTTTCGATATTATTGATCGGGGAGCTGAACCTTACACTGGGCGCACAAATTGTGCAATTGTCGCCGATGGATCCAGAGGATGACAAAATCAGGGACTATGGTAACCACCCGCAGAAGATGATGGGGAAGATGAATGCGACACTACACTCCACTGGATGTAAAGCATCAACAAGATCGGAGGGCGCAGACCATCAACCATATGAGTCATTCAATTAACCATAAAAGGAATTAGAACTATATTTGGAATTTTGAGTTAAGTTTCCAAATATGGAATTGTGAAGGTGGTTGTTTTCCTATAAAAATCCACAATTTTCAGCAAAAATCATTGTTTCAGATGGCAGCAGCTATGTGTCAAGCTCCTGCCAGCTTTTAGTCAGATTATTGTCAAAAGACGCAATTTAATTCCGTTTCCAGCGATTCGTAAGAAAAATAAATAGTAACCAACAGTTTTTGTGTCTCTACCCACAATTCTTACTGTTCTTTGGAAGATTGTAAGTTCCACATACTTCTGATTGGTTCATCTTTTGATCAAGTTTTTCAAGTTGCTCTATTTCATTGCACGATTCCCATTCGAGTTCAGACCAGCCGGCCTCTGGGTTGGGTCCTACTCCGGCAGATTTTCAGGCCGTGTAGCGGTAGTTACTGAATTAAACAACCTGCCGATCATAGTCATCATATCCTGCATCTGCGAAGCCACCTGATTCAATCGTTGGCCGGTGGTCGTCCGCATCCCTGCCATCTACTGATCGTGTCTCGAGGTCTGCATCTCAGTCTTTTTTGACAACTCACTCTGCCGTGATTCCTGCATTTGGATCTGGATTGCTATCTAATCTAGTCTATGATCAGTACACGTCTGCAGTCCAGTCAGTTCGACCCGTATTTGCTGCGCGTTACCGACCTCTAAACTTTCCCTGACCGCTCCAGTCACCATGTCTGGTACACCCTGCAACTCTCAAAGATAGTTTGGTTGTTTCTTGCTCCTCGTTCTGGCAGTTTTGTCAGCCTGTTCCAGAAGCTGGGCTCGAACCACCGCCTGGTTTAATTTTTCAAACTCCTCGCGTAGAAGTAGTTCCTGCAGTTCCGAATCAAATATGCCATCTATGAACTGTTCACAGTTCATATGTTCATATCGTCTCTTGCTTGCGCGCCCATGTTTAAGTTCGCCACATCACCTCGCGATCTGACTCGTAACGAAAACTCTCTAAGCCCTTCCTTATTGCCCTGCGTGAGGTTTTTGAACTCAGCCCTGGCTGCAGCTTGACTCTGGAATGGCATCCACCGCTGATCAAGCTCGGCAAGCATCCTCAATAATGTCGGCTCAGGGAAGCCATCAACTTCTTCGATGAAGTGATTCGGCATACTCGTGGGCTCGTCTAGAGCCCAGACTGTCAAACACGTGGGCACTACCATCCTGGCTTGTTAATCTTCCCACCGGTTTGCATATGCAGCCCACGAGAAGTGTTTCCTCCAGACCGCCCAACTCTGGTAGCTACACGAAGGAAACTGATCTGGCCATAGTGTCCCCAATACAAATACGCCCTGTTGCCTGTGTAGCGCGATCGCTGCTGCAACTGCCGCTTTCACAACCAGCCGTCTGTCCCGATCTTCCATGTCCTATTACACTCGAATCTTCACTCGGCAGCACACGCTTTACGACTGCAATACAGAGTATGGCCCACCCCGGATCGCCAATGTAGATATAGGCGATCTCTAGATATAGGGCTGCTACTCTAGATTCATTCTTTTTTTCCTAAAGACATCGCAAAAGGGTCCCTTGGGTAGTGGATTCAGCGGGACGACCGAGATTCACTACTATCTACAATCACGTAATTTGTGTATTATTAGAGGTCAAATCTAACCAAAAAGTCACCCGAGGGAAGCTTATTAAATTCTCCGTCCGTTCATACTATTCAGAAGACTTAACTCTCATGCTCCGGTCCTATTACTATCAATTTCCGCTGGGACTACTTTTTTTGAGTCTACTTGAACTGGTTTCAATAGATTCTTCGCCAAGTTAAACTGATCCCAATAATTACCACGTCCACTTTGAAATAACTCTACTACTCCAAGGTGGCAATGTAAAACTATATCTCTATAAGCTTCTGCTCTAGTTCCCAATATATAAGTTTTCCTCCCAATTTTTAGCAAGGTGACCCATTCTCATATCCATAGTATTTGTCCGGGGAATACGCCACCTTCCGGTGTTAACCTCGAGGTTTTCTATGCAATGTTGGGATCAAAACGCCCAAAAGTCAATTGAAGGTCGTCCAGGGGTCAACCGAGGTCAAACTTCGATATTTATGTTCAGAATCCTATTTGCATCCAAACTATTAGGTTCCATCCATATCACACTAATACTCCACTAGTTATCCCATTTCTAAGGTCCAGTATCACTTTTCCGGAAGGAGGCTATAAACAACGGAAGGAGTCGCGGGAGGGTTTTGACTCACATTGGGTTTTTTAGGGGTTCGTATCTTGTGTCAATTGCTGCAATAAAATCATTATGCCACCGTCCATTACTTTGCGTTAATTGCCTATTTCCGATCTAAGTGGTTTTTTTTTTCAGGTGCTAATAGCTTCGAATCCGCCAGTTTGAAAAGGTTCAAATTCTAGCACAAGATGTATCTTGCCATTACCTATCATTCCTCCAAATTTCAGCTCCTTGCGCTCATTGGAGGTCGAGAAACGATTTACGAAATTTAGGGGTGGATTTGTTTACTTAGGGCATAAAACCGGAAGCGGCGTCCTAGGGGTCTAGAGTTCCAAAGTAAAGCTTACCTCAACTAGGCCTACAACATACTAAAGTTTGAGCCCATTACCACCTCTAGTGTCCGAGTTCAGTAAGGGCCATTTACACTTCCGGGGACCGTTATCACTAGCCCCCCAAGGGTCTGAGGGGTCCCGTTTTTT